TTTACAGGATGCTTTAGGATGCTTTAGGATGCTGTAAGGTATTTCGTAAAAACTTGGTCATTTTATTTTTCGATGTTTGCAAATGTTGTATTTTCCCTTTAATCTATTATACAAAATAAAGCATTTGTTCTCAGTAACACCAATGTTCACAACTGTATCAAAAGACCCGTCATTCAGAACAATGCAAGAACAATTCTTGCGAGTGACTCTGTCATATTGTTTAAAGTGAACTAATTTTTCTTCAACTATCACTCGATCATAAAAGGACACATGACCCTGAACTGGGTTGTCCAGTACAGTGCCATTCTTTGCAGAACTGTTGTGTTGCCTATTTTTGGACAGCCTAGCAAAGTGACATCCTCATCAATCTGAAAAGCATGGCTTGATGGAAGAAGATTATCTAGTAATGGGTCACAATCAAGTTGAACTTGTTGCGACTTATTAGTTACAACAAACTTGGACATTAATTTAGGAAAATGCTTCCATATAGTAAAGTTACTATGGTAAAGTTACTACTAACCTGGACTGGTACAGACTGAGTGCCATGAAACATATTCAGTAGATTGCCATTGTAAGACTCAAACAAAAATGTTGAGTTGGCCCACAAAGGTCCCCAATTCCTAATGGTATAGACTACATGAATGACCTGGTGAATATTGAATGTGTTGTGTTGTTTTCCATTGAGCACCCCGACAAAGATAACAAATGTCTTTTAACATAAGATCTGCATTCACTAAACCGGTTTCAGATATTTATTCTGATAGTAGCAATGCCATACTGTGAACCAACGGCAGCCAGTGCTTCAAGTAGTCTTCCGGGAGAATGCCAATTAGACAAGGAAGTGAAAAAAATAGTAACCATGATCTCCACTCCAAGCCCTTCCAAAATCGACTCTGAGTCAGACATCGAGGTGCTCGTGTAAAATTATTTGGGGGCTGAATACTGATCAATCGCTCATCAACTTGATCAATTTGAGTCCCCATGTAATATCCCTCTTTGTGATTTGATGAGTCGAACCAAAGGTTCCCAAAGATCCTTGCAACTCCAAGAAGACTGTTATGTAAATAGTCAACAGTAAATCCCTGTATAATATTAAATGTTGTGAGAAGCATTAACATTAAAGGCCCCTTGACACCCCGCATGTCATTATTTTGGAGAAGTGCTTCCTCAGCATCTACTACAGTTTGTCTGTGAGTACGCAATTCGGCAGGTTCTTCTGATAAGGGATAAACCTGAACAAATCCTCTCCCTTTTTCCACACGTTCCCCTTCTCGAATGCTGTGACGTCATCAAACCGGATGTTATGTGTTATTAATACATACACTTATTTTTTTCATATTTTCATACGTTATTTTAACTTTACAATGAACACTTCACAATGAAAATAAATTATACGTGTACATAAAATGTTTACTGCAATTAATCACACCGTTAAGATTTATTTTCTTTTCACAAAATAATTGATTGGGAAAGGGTACACGTTTTCAATTTAATCAGGAAAACTTTTTATGGCATATTTACACTTTCATTGTTATGTTTAACGCAGTTAGATTAACCTTAGAATTTGAAGGGTAACAGACAAATAAATTTTACTTTAAATCTACAGTCCATCATTTGCAACTATCGAAAAAGTAACTGTGTTACAACTTATAATGTAGTAACCAACGGATAACGTATCACCAACCAATTATGTATCACAAATTGACCGATATTTTATCACTAACCGATAATGTAGCAAAAATTGACTGATAGTGTAGTAAAATTTGTATCCGATAATGTATCACGTGTCGACGGATAAATGTAACTACAAAATAACTGTATCCGATAATGTATCACCACGGAACGGATACTGTATCAACTGATAATGTTTCAAAAATCAACCGATAATGTATCAGTATATTTGGAAAAGGTGTATATATTGCAAATTAATTGAAGTCTAATAAGTGCCTTTACTATGATAAGTCCCCACTCGGGAAAGTTTATCATTAAGAATTTTTTTCGGTGAATTTGGGAGGGAGTTGCTCTGGTTTGGAGACGCTCTACTTCCAAGTGGGCCTAGGCTATAGTGGCGTATGCAGCTTTTGATGTCGGGGGGGGGGGGGGGTGGTAACCGCACTCGCACATCCGCGCCGAAATGCGGACCAGTTCTTTTCTCCGGACACTTGGGCTCCGTGCTCCAACCAAGAGAGCGCGTTTTACCACTTTTGAGAGCACCATGGACGTATGGGACCATTGATCTCCGTATGGAGATCAATGGACGGGACAGCATGTGCGTACTGTACTGTACTGGTTCGCGCGCCAAGTTCCACACCACTTCCAGAATGTGCCAAGGCTATTAGCCGCAGCGTCTTCGCATGATCGACAGGCAACGTCGGCGCGCGCATACGTTCAATTTAACTTGCGATGGTCTCCCAGATTATTCCCTCCCCCAATTTCGCTCGTACCCCGCGCCCTGCAAACAGGACGCTGTGATACCCTGATGAATTCACGCTCTGATTGGTTGGATTTTGCGTGGCCAGTGATCTGCGCGTCATCAAGGTTATGACTCTGCAAGGTTTGAAACGGCCATTAAGACTGATTCATTACTCTTTTATTCCAGTTTAGAGATGTATTCTTTCTCGTTGAAAAGCGTAATAATGTACGAAATTCTTTAAAACGTATCGTGTTGTAAATTTACAATTCCCGTCATTCGCTCAGGCTCCATTTCGAATCACGAACGGTCGGATTGCATTATGCGATGCTCAAAATTGTGTCCACATGGTCCGCAATGAAACAGAAATCACATCCGGTATTGAATGTGCGCAACTCTATTGGAAGTTTTCGGATAGCATTTGCGCACATTGTTTAAGTGTGGTCTTGAACAGCTGCAGCCAGATGCTTTATACAAAGGTCATAGGCCACTTCCTTCATAAGATTCCGGGAAGCTCATCAGAGTATCCCAGCGTCCTGTTTGCAGGGCGGGGGGTACGAGCGAATCCCCCAATAACTTTGCATCATTCAAAATACGCAGTGGATGGACCGGGAACCAGCCTTGGTCCTCCCCCAACTCTCTCCGTTTCTGGCCGTTGAAGGGGAACTTGTGCACGGAGCCCATAGCTCCACGGTAAAATCAAAACTGAGGGAGGGGGGGGGCTGGAGACCACATGACACTGGGGGCGCTGTTCATGATACAAATGTATCAGCGCATTTCAAGCTTTTTGTACTCTTTCTCCCTTTCTCAGTACTATTTAATACATTTCGGCGGTTGGAAAGTTTGAAAAATACCTCAAAATCTGCCTTTTTTCTCTAAATACGAAATAATGGGGGGTTTGATCCAATAGCACAGACCCCCCTCCTCGGTCAAAAAGTGGGGCGGGATATATAGGACATAAAACAAACATTTGTGTACACCTTCTCCCCATACTGATACATTATCGGTTGAATTTTTTTATGCTTAATCGGTTGATACAGTATCCGTTCCGTGGTGATACATTATCGGATACATTTACTTTGTAGTTACATTATCCGTCGACACGTGATACATTATCGGATACAAAATTGTACTACACTATCAGTCAATTTATGCTACATTATCGGTTAGTAATACAATATCGGTCAATTTGTGATACATTATCGGTTGGTGATACGTTATCCGTTGGTTACTACATTATCAGTTGTAACAAACTGACGTAATTATTATTGAAAAACATACATGGTTGAGAGAAAGTAAGGGAACTAAACTCCCTGTGAAATTATTCTTTCTGGCATGCTGTCAGGTTGCACAAGTGCGCGCGGTTTTTATAAGTTCCTGTGCTGCATGCCCATGGCAAATTCCATGGTAAATTCCCATGCAGATCACCATGGTGAATTCCCATGCAGATCTCCATGGTAAATTCCCATGCAGATCCCCATGGTAAATTCCCATGCAGATCCCCATGACGAATTCCCATGCAGATCCCCTTGGCGAATTCCCATGCAGACCGGGCAAATTCCCATGTAGCTGCATTTGCTGCATGCGCATGGCAAATTCCATGGTAAATTCCCATGCAGATCCCCATGGTGAATTCCCATGCAGATCTCCATGGTAAATTCCCATGCAGATCCCCATGGTAAATTCCCATGCAGATCCCCATGGCAAATTCCCATGGTAAATTCCCATGCAGATCCCATGGTCAATCCCATGCAGATCCCCATGGCCAATCCCCATACAGAACCCAAATGGCGAATGTCCATGTATCCCCAAAACAAAACCCCATGGTGAATCCCCATGGCTAAATCCCCAAGCATATCCCCATGATGAATCCCTAAACCCCATTGTAAGAACCCATGGTAAATCCTCATGGGGAAAATTTTCCATGACCAATTCACCATAAGAATCCCATGGGGAAAATTCCCATGGGGTTTTCCATGGGGTTTCTGCATGGGACATTCTTGTAAGGGTTATGTGGCCTTTCTGGGCTCCCATATGTTTTGCACCTAATATTCGGGCACCATTTGCAGACGGTGTTGTATTTTTGTGATTGTGTGTGTAAGCCAGACGAGCGTGTGGAAGCGATGGTCGTGTATCTGGAACCTGTAAACACTTTTTTAATTAGCTAAATATGTAAGGAAGCAGACTAATGACCAGCCTGGCGGCACAGGCACAATGTCGCTGGTCTGACGTGACCGTTTCCTGTGATTTTCGTCTTGACTATCCAAATTTCCCGAATGTCCGTGTCGGTCGAGATCGTAAGTGGGTGCAGAGTTCTCAAGCCCTATGGCCTTACTGAGGTCATCTCACTCTCCACTCTGAAGGATATTTTGAGAGCTTTAAGGGGATCGAAGCGTCATATCTGCGACATCAGCCGACATTTGAAGAAAAAAAAGTAGGAAAAAAAGCATCGCCGCACCACTTTTAGGGCTAGCTCCATACCAGAAACCGAAGACTTGGGGGGGGGGGCATAACCTTAGTAAATATTAACACTTCTTTTTGCTTTTTGTCTCGACTCTCAATATCTCGTCCCCTACACTGCACAACTCACCACAGTCCGTCTCATCCGCTCTGTTAAGACACTCACTATAGCCACTGCAGACCAACTCCCTTGGAATGCACGAGCCATCCCCACAAGCAAAATACCCGGGTCCCGTGCAAGGATCTGCAAATATAAATGAGTTAGATCGATTGAACATAATCTACTGGACGGCACAGATTCATAAATCCGTGGAATTGGCAGTACATGTACAGTATACTACTTTCCTCGCGTTTTACACGGGAACATACGGCTTATGTCACCCACCTTCAATCACAACATGGCTACATTCAGACGCAAAATAGTCATGTGTACAATGCACGGTAGCAAAAACAACAACAAAAGCTAATAATATAACGATTCATACCTCTCGCCCAAGTGGTTGCAAAGAACAGACTGACAGAAGTCCATGTTAAAAATAAAGCTATCTTCCAAACCATTCCTGAAAAGGCAAAAGTATTACATTGAAACTGTAGCAAAAGAAATACAAAATGCAAAAACATTACATACAAAATAGTTATTATTGATTTGCACACGAAAGTGCATTACATAGGAAATTAAGGGTAAAGGAAACGGATATTTCAGTGCAGTATTTTAGTTTTTGCATTGCGCTACATGTGGGCAAGCTGCAATTAATGAAACAAGTTTGGATTTAAAAAAATATATTATCTTCAAGTAAACTTGAAGACAATAAACTATTTGCAAGATATATAAATAGAACATTTACACTTACTCTCTGTAGGAAGCTTCCCCAAAAGCGTATATTTCCGTTTTGACTTGATCAGACAATTCGACTTCCACTGTATTTTGAACTACCTCGACTCTTATTCTGCGCAATACTGTACCATTTGTTCGTTTCACAACGAATACTGAGAAAGATAGTAGTAAAATTAGAGAGGTCAAACTGTTTTATTGTCTCTTTGCATGATTTAATTACCCTGGTGAGGTGAACCAATACCTGCAGAAAAACAAGTTGCTTACAGATTGATGTCATTAAACACGTGGTTACACCTCATACATATTAAATATTAAAACGCGTATCTCATCGATCAATTACGACGAGTTAGGTAATTTGAAATCAATCTCTCATCTAGAGGTACAGTCAAATGTTGCCGACACCGAGGGACTAGTGGTCATTTCGTAATCATAGGAGCAATACGTTGTATATGTAAGCTTAGACTTGATGACAAGTCGTCAGATGTTCGTGTTCTGTCCGTCAACTTCAGTTGGATATGCATTGGGCGTCTGTTATAAGACTAGTACGAAATCGGCCGGGTTGCGACCAATCTAACGACTTGACGACTACGTTCTCGCACCGTTATTTATTTATTTATTTATTCCATTTCTTTACCCAGGGTATGCCCAAACAGTTTAAAACTGGTTTCCATTGGGGCCCTGCATACAATAAATAATGACTACAAACATGTATAATTATACAACATTACAAATACAATACAATTCAATACGGTGAGATAAAACATTATTTGAATAATGCATAGGTGTTAAGCAAATATTATAATTACAGTATATTTTAAAACTATTATAACTACATGTACAGTGTGAATGCTCTACTATAAGGTTGATTCAGTGAACACGAACAATTTGGATTTATCTTGTAACATCAAGAAAAGAAAAACAAATATTGCTGTAACTATATTCGCTGATTAATACGGGAGGGGCAAAAACCCCGCGAAAATCCTTTTGGGAGAAAACACGGAGAAAATCCCATAAGGCTCCTTATTATCTTCTTCTTATTATGGCAACCAAGTTTGTTAACTCCGTAGATCAGCACATATCTAGATTTGTATAATCAGAGAAGACAGCGGCAAATACACAAATAATTATTTGCAGAAATATTATTACTGACTGAACGTTTTACGTAGTTCAGATTTGAATGAGGCTAGTGAAGTCATGGTTCTCAACTGCACATGTAAATTATTCCAGATGATTGTATCAGTTACAGCAAAGCTTGAGGCATAACACTGTATTTTTGCAAAGGGAATCCTCAGTGCCATATCAGTGGATTTTCTCGTTTCACGAATCTGAATAAGTGATGTAAACATATTTGTCATATACAAAGGAGTAATTTTGTTTATACATTTGTAAACAAGAATAGCCTTTTCATACTCTACTCTTTCAGCAAATGACATCCAATTAAGACTAGCAAACATATCGGCTGAAGGAGTTAAGAATGCACACTTCAGGATTATCCGCGCGGCTCTTTTCACACATTTATTAAGAATATTGTCGTGTGATGTGTACCTTCCTCCCCATACAGTACTACAATAATCTAAAGATGGCAAAACTAAGCTAACAAAAAGAGAGTGCAGACTGCTTTGGGGGAACATAGTCGCGGAATCTATTTAGCATACCTAGTTTAGAGGAAACTGTTTTCTTCGCGTATTCGACGTGTGGGCCCCAACTTAAAGTGTCATCAATAATAACACCTAGACAGCAGTTCACCTTTACAACTGGACTACCAGCAATATTGACATTAAGGTCAGTACTGCAGACTTTTATTTTCGTTCCAATAAGCATGGATTTGGTTTTGCTGGTGTCTATTGTAAGTTTGTTTCTGACACACCAGTCGTAAATTCTCGCTAGGGCTGTATTCAAGTTGTTTTCTACTTCATCAACACTGGTAGAACTACACGTTAATGTGGAGTCGTCGGCATACATGAACAAATTACACTCGCTAGGGATACAAAGCGGTAGGTCACTTGTATAAATAATAAATAACAGTGGACCTAAAATTGATCCCTGTGGTACGCCGGTGTTAAGTGGTAGGGCTTTAGATATGTTGCCCTCAATGTTCACAGATTGACTACGTTCACTGAGATATGACTTAAGCCATCTGAACAGAGGTTGACATATTAACCCTTTCAAGTTTATCTAAGAGAGTGGCATGATCAACAGAGTCAAGTGCTTTACTTAAATATATAAAAACAGTGCATGTTATTTCCCCACGCTCCATAGCCTGAAAACATTTGTTCGTTGAATCGTGTAAGGTAGTTTCAGTTGAGTGTGAGGGCCTAAACCCTAACTGACAACAAGGAATCAGACCACTTTCATCAAGGTAAGAGTACACTGCTGAGTGTATCCATCTTTCCAGAATCTTAGAGATAATCGGCAGTATTGTATTGAGATAGGCCGATAGTTAGTTGTATTACACTTGTCTCCACCCTTGTGAATAGGCGTAATCAGGGCGTGTTTCCACTCATTGGGGTATTGTTCGCATCTTATCGAGAGGTTAACGATGTGGTTTAATGATTTAGTTATGTACGGAGACGCTATTTTAATCATGTTCACACTTATTCCATCTGGATCTGTTGCTTTTCCGACCAACATTGATGATATTTGCTTTTGAACATAGTCTTCAGTAATCTCAGGCAGTAAGCACTTTTCATCAAGTGAATCTGTATCAAAAGAGTGGATATTGTTGTCCACTTTGAGTTCACATGGAGGGGCATTACTGGCCATACGTGTTCCGATTGTTGAGAAATGTTCGTTAAAAGTATATATCAGCAATGTCGGTGAGATCGTCAACGAATTCCCCATTCTGGGAAAAAAAGACCTTGGAATACTTTTCTGTTTATTGGGGAGAACCTCTTTTAGTTTTTTCCACAGAACGGAAGAGTTGCCTTTATTTTCCTCGATGGTTGATTGAAAGTGTTCGCTTTCCTTGCTGCGGATGTTATCAGTGGTCATGTTTCGCAGCATTTTGAATGCGTTCCAATCATTCTGTGAGCCTAAACGTCTAGCCACTTTGTTTGCATGATCTCGCTGTCGCATAAGTTTTAGAATTTCCCCATCGAGCCAAGGCAACGATGCACCACGAATACGCTATGATTTCATTGGCGCATGGTGGTTAATAATAAACATAAACAAAGAGTGCCACATGGACCATGCTTCATTTACATCATGACAATTAAGGACATGTTCCCATGGGGCATTAAGGAGGTCCTCTTAAAAAGCGTCATTATCGATATCTTTAAAACATCTGAAGTTAATTGAACGGCTTCTTTTTTGGGAGGTTTCCAATTATGAAGACCGTAAACAAGATAATGATCATTAATCAGGACAGGTAGGACACCACTTTCACTTACTAGTTCAGGATGAGAGCTAACATTCATCGGGCTCCAATCGCGCACCGCATATATGCAACTGAGGACTTATTCATTCCGTTTTAGCGACCAATACACTCAGCTTGGTCAATAATGTAGAAATAAAATGTATCACTGTGATATACATTGTACTTGATTTATTTCAGTCGTGTATTCCATACAATGAATTTGAAATGTTACACAACACAAAGTACAAACCCTCGAAGTAATGACAATGATATAAGATTTGAGGCTTTGCATGGTGGGGTATCGGTATCGTTTCGGTTTGCGGTAACACCATGTGGTAATAACTACTGCTTAGAAGATATATGTTCTGAGAAGAACTTGTCCTGCTTATTATCAACTTTGCTAAGTAGTTTTTTGTTCTGTTTAGAACAGTCCTGCTGTAAGTTCTAAAAGAACTTGTCTTTGGTCTCAACGTTTCGACTAGCCTGCTCTAGTCATCGTCAGTCAAAGAACTTGTCTTTGGTCTCAACGTTTCGACTAGCCTGCTCTAGTCATCGTCAGTCTCCTGACGATGACTAGAGCAGGCTAGTCGAAACGTTGAGACCAAAGACAAGTTCTTTTAGAACTTACAGCTGGACTGTTCTAAACAGAACAAAAAACTACTTAGCAAAGTTGATAATAAGCAGGACAAGTTCTTCTCAGAACTAATATCTTCTAAGCAGTAATTATTACCACATGGTGTTACCGCAAACCGAAACGATAATGACAATGATCTTCCTTGGCGGCCTGGAATGCACTCTGGAATCTGAACCAATCAGAGTTCTCGCATAGAATTTGCTAGCAACTCAAAACACTCCCATTATGTTGTGTACAAAATTGAAAACGTATTCGCCAAGTCGGTAATTGATCATTAATGGTCAGCATCATTTGGTCTGGGAACCAGACTACGCGCATTTCAGCGATATTTGCAGCGGTACCGTACGCGAAACAATTACCAACATGGCGCTAAACATGGCGCGCTTTAAAAGCAGTAGCAGAACTGCAAAAGCAGCATAGTTGAAGCAGTAACAACACTAGCAGTAGTAACGGTAGCAGAGCACCTGCAGATCAGTAGCCTTAGTGTTAACAGTAGCAGAGACAGTAGCAAAGCCGTATCAGTCGCAGCAGCAAATAAACCCACTACTACTTTCAGTACGATTGAAATTTACGCAAGAGTCAGCAGTAGCAGCAACGGATGTAGCAAAGCTGTGGTGCAGCTATACTCTTACAGAAATTTCCCATGTAGTTCTCATGGGAAAATGTCACATTGGACCCCATGGGAATTGCATGGTGAATAATAGGACCCCATGGGAATCCCATGGGATGCTCATGGGACATTTCTGTAAGGTAGTAGCAGAAATAATTATTAGAAATAACATTGATTCCAGTGATAGCACTTAAAAAAGGCACCAGCGGCAGTAACAGCAGTAGTAAGAAAAGGAGGGCACTACCAGTAACACACGCGCTGAAACTAACGCCAAAAATGGATTTGACAGGGGAAAAATGACATTTGCAGAACAGTAGCAGTAGCTTTGGGAATAGCGTTAGTGCTTACGGTAGCACAAGTGAGAAGCACTTGCAGCAAAGCCGTAGCAGGCGAGCAGCAGTATCGTTATATCATTAGTAGAAGTAGTCGCAGTCATAGAGCACTATAGAAGAGAAGTGCCCTCAACTGTAGCAGCAAATCTGTTCACGCATAATAGACTAGGTGGCGGTTAGTTTTGCTACCCAATCCGGATTGTAGCTA